AGACCTTAAGGAACCATATAATTCCTAGTAATTGCTATCATTATTCTTATATAATGTTGAGATTTCCAAAGTGCCGTATGCATTCTATTTCATTTGTTCCTAACTACAACCCCAAAAGATGGCTAACAGGGGCTTTATTGTCCTCATTTTACAGATGAGATTCAGTAACTTGGCCATGGTCACATAGTCCAAGGTGGGATCTGAAGCCAAGTCTCTCTTTTTCTACTCTTCCTCTCACCTTCTCTTCATCCAATTCCACCCTCCCCCTCCCTTTTTTTGGGGGGGGAAGCAATTGGGGTTAAATGACTTGCTCAGGGTCACACAACTAGTAAGTGAATCTGGATTTGAATTCAAGGTCTCCTGGTTCCAAAGCCAGTGCTCTATCCATTACGCCACCTAGCTGCCTCTCCTTCCCACCCTACGGCTCACCCCCCTACAAATTCCTTTACTCACTTCTTTCCAAAACCTTCTGGAGAGTCATGTAGCAACCCCAGGGTACTGAGGCTGGTCCTAGTCTTCCCCTTTCAATTCAACTTCATTCTTATATTTGGATGCTGGGGACTGGACTCATCCAAACTAGAGGAGAAGCTAAGAGAGGGTGGCAGGCCCAAGTCATAGGATTTAGACTTACAAGGGACCCCAGAGATCACCTAGGCCAGGGGTGGGGAACCTGTGGCCTTGAGGCCACCTCTCTAGGTTTCTAGGTCCTCAAGTGACTGAATGTCAAAGGGCCACACTTAAGGACCTAGAGAGCCATGTGTGGCCTCGCAGCCGCAGGTTCCCCACCCCTGATAGACCTTCCTAGATCACCTTTCTCCCTTCTCCCCCCCATTTTACATTTGGGGAGATACACCCTAGACCAGGAAGTAACTTGCCCCTGGTCATACACGTTCTAAGCTGGGATTCAAGCACGTGGCTTCTGCACGACGTCCAGTGTTCTTTCTGTCACCCCAAGCTGCCTCAGACAATAGAAGCTATTCTGTTCTGTTTTCACAAAGAGGATACAGTCAGTCATCTGCTTTGGACATTAATGGATGTTCAGATGGATGAATGAGAGACACGCTGGGATTTAACACATCAAAATGTCCTTTGTTTCTCTGGTTCTAACAAAAACGCTGGGCACTGGGCAGAATAGGAAATATGTTTGGTCACCTCCATGTACTATGCTTCAGAAAAAGTTGGAGGGCTGAGAGCAAGATTTTGTAGCATTGTTTGGTTGGGTTTTTTGGTTGGGGTGGTGGGGAAAGAGGTTAGGGGGCCTCCAGTCAGAGCAGTTCCCTTACCAGTCACCTAGAATTAAAATTCATGTCTAATTTTGCCTATTAATGGGATACACCATGATGGGTTTCTTTCCCATTCTGACTTGATTTTTGCTTCAATCCTCTTTCCCTCCCCACTCTTCCTCATCAGGTGGACCCTGGGTCTGAAGCTCATTCTGACCTAATTAAAATTCCCCATGTGGATTTGGTGTGCTGCAATTCCAGTTAGACATTTTTACACCAGAACTCAACAAGGGAGTAAGCAGGCAGCTCTGCCTTTGCTGAGGTGGGGAAAAGAGGAGAAAGGGAGAGGGAGAGAGGAAAAAGGGAAAGAGGGAGAGGGAAAGAGGGAAAGAGGGAAGGGAAAGAGAGGGAGAGGGGAGAGAGAGAAAGAGCAGGGGAAGACAGGGAGAGGAATGGGAAGAGGAGGATAATGAGAGGACAGGGAGAGGGAGAGAAAGGGAAGGGGAAAAGAGAGAAAGGAATGAGAAGGGGAAGATAATGAGAGGACGGGGAGA